GATATTGCAAGGTCCGGAATGCCTCCGATTGAGACATGGGCAGCCCTTACTCGAGCTATGCATGCACGTTTTGTGCCCCCGCATTATCGGATGGATCTTCTTCAGAAAATTCAGTTTTTAGTCCAAGGTAGCAAGACAGTTGAGCAGTACTACAAGGAAATGGAGATGCTTATGATGCGGGCTCAGCTTGTGGAAGATGATGGAGTCACCATGTATCGGTTTCTCAAGGGGCTGAGGCGTGATATTATGATTCAAGTGGATATGTATCCTTACAATTCTACTTTGGAACTTGTCCAACTTGCTACCAAGATTGAATCGCATGGAAAGGTAGGAGTAAGTGTGAGCTTTGGAAAGACGTCACCAAATTTCAACAAGTTTGGGGGTAATACGGGACCAACAAAATCTTGGCCCAAAGGAGATGATAAGCACACGACCAAGAATGAGCCGCTTAAGGTGGTTAAGCGTGATGAACCAAGGAAAGTCAGCAAGGATGGTTCACCAAACAAAGCAAAGGAAGTCACATGCTTTAAGTGTCAAAGGAAAGGTCATTATGCCAATACATGCCCTAATGTGCGAACTGTTGTGCTTTGTGACAATGGGGACTATGTACTTTTGTCGGATGATGAGGGTGAAGATTGGGAACATGAAGTTGAGGCGAGTGAGGATGAAGCAATCCAAGAGACGGAAGAGCACGTTGAAGAGGATTCATCCGGGGACTCTCTAGTGGTTTTGCGAATGCTTGGAGCAGTTCCCAAGGAGTCAGAAAATTTTGTTGATCGGGTTAAGGAGCAACGGGAGAATTTGTTCCATTGTCGGTGCAAGATTGGTGGGAAGCGAGCGTCGATAATCATTGATAATGGAAGTTGCACCAATGTCGTAAGTTGGTATGTGGTAGACAAGCTTGGACTCCAAACTATCAAGCATCCAACTCCATACCATCTTCAATGGATGAACTCTAGTGGAGATATGAAGATCACTAGGCAAGCCAAAGTTCCTATTTCAATCGGCCCCTACAAAGAGGATGTCCTTTGTGATGTTACTCCGATGACCGCATGCCATGTGCTTCTTGGCCGACCATGGCAATCCGATAAAGGAATTATCTATGATGGCAAGACTAACAAAGTTAGATTTTATGACAAGGGCTACAAGGTAATGATTCCTTCTTTGCCATTGAAGGAGGTTCGAAAAGATCAAGAAAGCTTGCGAAAGAAGATGCAAGAGGCTGAAAGCCTTAAAAGAACTAAAGGAAAAGAAGTATCCACAGAGGAAAAGAGAGAGTCTACTGCTAAGGGTTCCAACATCCTTCTTTCACTTACCGATTTTCAGAGAGAAGTTGGTGACCTAGATCATCAAAAGGGGGGTTGTTTTATGTTGTTATGCAAAGATTTATTTCATTCTGATAAAGATAATCTACTCACTAATTTTCCCATTCCCTTTGCTAGGATGCTTGAAGAGATGAAGGATGTATACCCGGAGGAACTACCGCAAGGACTACCGCCCATTCGTGGGATAGAGCATCAAATTGACTTCGTACCCGGTGCTTCGATCCCAAATCGTCCTGCATATCGGTGCAACCCAAATGAGAATAAGGAGATTCAAAAACAAGTCCAAGAACTTCTTGAGAAGGGATGGGTTCGGGAGAGCTTATCACCATGTGCTGTTCCTGTTATCATTGTCCCCAAGAAGGATGGAACTTGGAGGATGTGTGTGGATTGCAGAGCGGTGAATGCGATTACAATTAAGTATCGACACCCAATCCCGCGCCTTGATGACTTGCTTGATGAGATCAATGGGGCGAGAATCTTCTCCAAGATTGACCTTCGGAGTGGATACCACCAGATTCGTATGCAACCCGGCGATGAGTGGAAGACGGCATTTAAAACAAAGCTAGGTTTGTACGAATGGTTGGTTATGCCATTCGGTCTAACTAATGCTCCTAGTACCTTCATGCGTTTAATGAATCATGTTCTACGTGCTTTCATTGGTAAATTTGTTGTAGTATACTTTGATGATATTCTTGTCTACAGTAAAAGTGAAAATGAACATGTGGAGCATGTGCGACTCGTCTTTCAACGGTTAAGGGAAGAACAACTCTATGCTAATTTTAAAAAGTGCATATTCCACACTAATGAAGTTGTTTTCCTTGGGTTTGTAGTTAGCGAGGATGGCTTGAAGGTTGATGAAACAAAAGTAAAGGCAATTAAAGAATGGACACCTCCAATGAATGTGGGAGAAATTAGGAGGTTTTTGGGAATGTGTGGATTTTTTCGGAGGTTCGTGCCTGGTTTTAGCTTGATCGCTGCTCCTCTCACGTCCTTGCTCAAGAAGGGAGTCCCATTTAAATGGGAGCAAGCACACCAAGAAGCGTTTGAGACATTGAAGGCAAAGCTTACTCAAGCACCAGTACTTGCGCTACCAAATTTTGAGAAGACCTTTGAGCTTGAGTGTGACGCTTCGGGCAAAGGCATGGGTGCAGTTTTGCTTCAAGAAGGTCGACCCATAGCCTATCATAGTGAGAAATTTGGAGGGGCTGCCTTGAATTACTCTACATATGACAAGGAGTTGTATGCGGTGGTACGGGCTTTAAAGACATGGCAACATTATTTGATGCCACGAGAGTTTGTGATACACACCGATCATGAGACCTTGAAGCACTTGAGGGGGCAACAACAGCTGAATCGAAGGCACGCACGATGGGTATCTTTTATTGAGTCATTTCCATACACCATCAAGTACAAAAAGGGTAAGGATAATATTGTCGCGGATGCACTCTCACGCAGGTATGCTTTAATTTCATACGCGTCCACGCATTTATTAGGATTTGAGCATGTTAAGGAATTATACCACACTGATGAGGATTTCAAAGATGTGTATGCTTTGTGTGAATTTCATGGGCATGATAAGTATTGCAGACATGAGGGATTTTTGTATTATGATAATCGACTTTGTATCCCAAAATGCTCCATTCGGGAGTTACTAATACAAGAAGTTCACGGTGGTGACATGATGGGCCACTTTGGGAAGAATGCTACAATGGAAGCTCTTGGAGAGAAATTTTATTGGCCTGGAATGCGCAAGCAAGTTGCAGATTATATTTCGCGATGCGTGACGTGCCTTAAGGCCAAGTCAACACTTAAGCCACATGGACTCTACATGCCTCTTCCACCCCCTGAGGGACCTTGGATTGATATTAGTATGGATTTTGTGTTGGGTTTACCTAGAACTGCACGTGCTAAAGATTCTATTTTCGTTGTGGTTGACAGGTTTTCCAAGATGGCGCATTTCATTCCTTGTGCAAAGACAAATGATGCCCATCACATCGCCAAACTATTTTTCAAGGAGATAGTACGCCTTCATGGAGTGCCAAGGTCTATTGTCTCAGATCGTGATGCAAAGTTCGTGAGTTACTTTTGGAAATCGTTGTGGCACGAAATTGGTACTAAGCTTCTTTTCTCCACATCCTATCACCCCCAAACTGACGGACAAACGGAGGCGGTAAACCGGGTGTTGGGTAATCTCCTTAGAGTTATTGTGAATTCACATAGTAAAAGTTGGGATGAATGTCTTCCTTACATTGAATTTGCATACAATAGACATATCCACACAGCCACACACATGTCACCGTTTGAAGTAGTTTATGGAATGAACCCACTAACGCCTACTGATCTTTTACCATTGCCTAGCAATGAGTTCTTAAATGTTAATGGTAGGGAACGAGCAAGACGCATAAAGGAACTTCATAAGGATGTCAAAGCAAGTCTAGAAAAATCTGCGGAGGTATATGCTAAGTACGCTAACCGCGGACGTAAAGCTGTAATATTGCATCCTGGCGATTGGGTTTGGGTTCACATGAGGAAGGAAAGGTTTCCAGCAAGACGACGTACAAAGCTATCACCCCGAGGAGATGGGCCATTTCGAGTGCTTGAAAGGATTAATGATAATGCATACCGTTTGGAACTTCCGGATGAATATGGTATTAATCCGACTTTTAATATTGCAGATTTATCACTCTATGATCGAGCCGATGAGGAAGCACAACGGTTGATGGATCAACCTTCTGAAGGGGGAGAGGATGACATGGATACGAAAAGATCGGGACTTGCAATTCCACATATTCCAATCGGACCAGTCTCGAGAGCTCGAGCGAAAGCGTGCATTGAAAAATTGCAAGGCCTAATAAAGAAATTAGAGAATTGGAGCCCAACCAACGGACTATGTTACAACATGCGAGGACTTGATGGAAAGCCTAGGGCGAGTGCCGTGGTTGTAAAGGTTACATTGGAGCTTGCAACGCCTCAACCGGAAAACTAACGGAAAAGTTGTGCAAACCTAGGAGTTTGCTAAAATAGAGGGTTTAATAGGTAATTATATAAACCTAGGTTGCACATGCTTAAGTGGGGGGGGACCATCTATTGGGACCACTTATACATATACATATACAATAAGCTCTCTCACATGCCTCTCACATGCAAGAGGGGACCATTAGCTAGGTGTCAATCAATGAGAGGTTACTTAGTTATACTAAACCTATCCCACATTGGAAAATCACTCCACTTGCCCCTTCCCCCACTCCTATAAATAGGACTCTTAAGGTGCTTTGTAAAACACACCAAGCAAGAATATTTTTATGAATATTTGATCATTATTGATCATTTCCTTTTTTATGGAAAGTTATGCTTGATAGCAATACTTTCTCTTTTAGTCTAATATTTCATGGAATGCAATTCCATTGCATGCTCCATGGGGTTTAGTTTAAAAATTCGGGTTTGAGTATAAAGCCTCAAGTTCGTGGCATTTTGGGAAGGTGGAAGAGCTCTCCAAAGTGTCGACCGAGGTGGTGCCTTCGTGGAGGATGGTTCGATGCTAGAAGGGTATCGGGTCGTTCTTACGTTAGTACTTACTTAGGTTTGCTTCTCTTTCAATTATCCTTTTTCTCGCTTTATTCGTTTCCGCTTAGTTAATTTGTTCTTTTCTTTCTTAGTTAGTTCCGCTTAGTTAGTTTAATTCCGTGTCTTGTGTAGTTGATCAATTCGGTCCATGACATATAATTCCTTAACATGCTCAAATCCTAATAAATGCGTGGACGCGTATGAAATTAAAGCATACCTGCGTGAGAGTGCATCCGCGACAATATTATCCTTACCCTTTTTGTACTTGATGGTGTATGGAAATGACTCAATAAAAGATACCCATCGTGTGTGCCTTCGATTCAGCTGTTGTTGCCCCCTCAAGTGCTTCAAGGTCTCATGATCGGTGTGTATCACAAACTCTCGTGGCATCAAATAATGTTGCCATGTCTTTAAAGCCCGTACAACCGCATACAACTCCTTGTCATATGTAGAGTAATTCAAGGCAGCCCCTCCAAATTTCTCACTATGATAGGCTATGGGTCGACCTTCTTGAAGCAAAACTGCACCCATGCCTTTGCCCGAAGCGTCACACTCAAGCTCAAAGGTCTTCTCAAAATTTGGTAGCGCAAGTACTGGTGCTTGAGTAAGCTTTGCCTTCAATGTCTCAAACGCTTCTTGGTGTGCTTGCTCCCATTTAAATGGGACTCCCTTCTTGAGCAAGGACGTGAGAGGAGCAGCGATCAAGCTAAAACCAGGCACGAACCTCCGAAAAAATCCACACATTCCCAAAAACCTCCTAATTTCTCCCACATTCATTGGAGGTGTCCATTCTTTAATTGCCTTTACTTTTGTTTCATCAACCTTCAAGCCATCCTCGCTAACTACAAACCCAAGGAAAACAACTTCATTAGTGTGGAATATGCACTTTTTAAAATTAGCATAGAGTTGTTCTTCCCTTAACCGTTGAAAGACGAGTCGCACATGCTCCACATGTTCATTTTCACTTTTACTGTAGACAAGAATATCATCAAAGTATACTACAACAAATTTACCAATGAAAGCACGTAGAACATGATTCATTAAACGCATGAAGGTACTAGGAGCATTAGTTAGACCGAATGGCATAACCAACCATTCGTACAAACCTAGCTTTGTTTTAAATGCCGTCTTCCACTCATCTCCGGGTTGCATACGAATCTGGTGGTATCCACTCCGAAGGTCAATCTTGGAGAAGATTCTCGCCCCATTGATCTCATCAAGCAAGTCATCAAGGCGCGGGATTGGGTGTCGATACTTAATTGTAATCGCATTCACCGCTCTGCAATCCACACACATCCTCCAAGTTCCATCCTTCTTGGGGACAATGATAACAGGAACAGCACATGGTGATAAGCTCTCCCGAACCCATCCCTTCTCAAGAAGTTCTTGGACTTGTTTTTGAATCTCCTTATTCTCATTTGGGTTGCACCGATATGCAGGACGATTTGGGATCGAAGCACCGGGTACGAAGTCAATTTGATGCTCTATCCCACGAATGGCCGGTAGTCCTTGCGGTAGTTCCTCCGGGTATACATCCTTCATCTCTTCAAGCATCCTAGCAAAGGGAATGGGAAAATTAGTGAGTAGATTATCTTTATCAGAATGAAATAAATCTTTGCATAACAACATAAAACAACCCCCCTTTTGATGATCTAGGTCACCAACTTCTCTCTGAAAATCGGTAAGTGAAAGAAGGATGTTGGAACCCTTAGCAGTAGACTCTCTCTTTTCCTCTGTGGATACTTCTTTTCCTTTAGTTCTTTTAAGGCTTTCAGCCTCTTGCATCTTCTTTCGCAAGCTTTCTTGATCTTTTCGAACCTCCTTCAATGGCAAAGAAGGAATCATTACCTTGTAGCCCTTGTCATAAAATCTAACTTTGTTAGTCTTGCCATCATAGATAATTCCTTTATCGGATTGCCATGGTCGGCCAAGAAGCACATGGCATGCGGTCATCGGAGTAACATCACAAAGGACATCCTCTTTGTAGGGGCCGATTGAAATAGGAACTTTGGCTTGCCTAGTGATCTTCATATCTCCACTAGAGTTCATCCATTGAAGATGGTATGGAGTTGGATGCTTGATAGTTTGGAGTCCAAGCTTGTCTACCACATACCAACTTACGACATTGGTGCAACTTCCATTATCAATGATTATCGACGCTCGCTTCCCACCAATCTTGCACCGACAATGGAAAAAATTCTCCCGTTGCTCCTTAACCCGATCAACAAAATTTTCCGACTCCTTGGGAACTGCTCCAAGCATTCGCAAAACCACTAGAGAGTCCCCGGATGAATCCTCTTCAACGTGCTCTTCCGTCTCTTGGATTGCTTCATCCTCACTCGCCTCAACTTCATGTTCCCAATCTTCACCCTCATCATCCGACAAAAGTACATAGTCCCCATTGTCACAAAGCACAACAGTTCGCACATTAGGGCATGTATTGGCATAATGACCTTTCCTTTGACACTTAAAGCATGTGACTTCCTTTGCTTTGTTTGGTGAACCATCCTTGCTGACTTTCCTTGGTTCATCACGCTTAACCACCTTAAGCGGCTCATTCTTGGTCGTGTGCTTATCATCTCCTTTGGGCCAAGATTTTGTTGGTCCCGTATTACCCCCAAACTTGTTGAAATTTGGTGACGTCTTTCCAAAGCTCACACTTACTCCTACCTTTCCATGCGATTCAATCTTGGTAGCAAGTTGGACAAGTTCCAAAGTAGAATTGTAAGGATACATATCCACTTGAATCATAATATCACGCCTCAGCCCCTTGAGAAACCGATACATGGTGACTCCATCATCTTCCACAAGCTGAGCCCGCATCATAAGCATCTCCATTTCCTTGTAGTACTGCTCAACTGTCTTGCTACCTTGGACTAAAAACTGAATTTTCTGAAGAAGATCCATCCGATAATGCGGGGGCACAAAACGTGCATGCATAGCTCGAGTAAGGGCTGCCCATGTCTCAATCGGAGGCATTCCGGACCTTGCAATATCAGCTTGTATCTTCTCCCACCAAACAAGAGCATACTCCTTAAACTCCACAACAGCAAGCTGAATTTTCTTGCGCTCCGAGTAATTATGACATGCAAACATCATCTCCACTTTGCTTTTCCACTCAAGAAACTCATTAGGTTCAGCCGATCCTACGAAAGGTGGTATGGAGAACTTGATGGACTGCATGTTATCATCAACCTCATTAACTCGAACTCGGCTCCTTCGGTTATGGATATCTTCTTCCAAGTCAAATTCATCAAGTAACTCTTTGGTAGCATCCCGTCTTCCTCGTCGGCCTTGGATAGATGTAGGCCTTGGACTAGTATGACGCCTTTCGCCAAAATCATCAACTTGGATAGATCGATTTGGGAAAACACTTGTTGAGCCCATAGGTTGCTTGCCAAGGTGGATTTCTTCACGTCTAGCATCACTATGACTTCCCCTTTCTTCAAGAGTAGCAACCTTATCGAAAACCTCATCGAGTTTCTTTTCCATGTTTTGATCAACCTTCCTTAACAAGGCCTCCGCATAAGCCTTCATCCGAGCATCCACAACATCATCTATGTCATCTCGAACATGATCAACTTGACTCCGTAGGTCATGTATCTCTCGACCTTGCTGATCCACACGAGATGTCATGCTATCCATCTTTCCACCTAACTCGTCTTTAATATCTCGCATATCTTTGCTTTGCTTATTTATCGCAGCCAAGATATCATCCAACGAAGCCATACCTGCACCAAAACAAACTAATATATGTATATTGAAAGTTAGTTCTCACAATTCCCCCCCTCTCGCACACTCGTGTATACCTCTCGACAAATGGATAGAGTTTCCAAGCTCTTAAAGTGTGCCTTGATGGAGTCGTAAAGGTGGAACCTGAGTGACGTACGCGTTTAAAGTGGACAAGAAACTTTAAACACGACTCAATCAAAGAAAGCTCAAGATAGTGTCAATCATGCAATGCAAAGAACCATGCTCATTCATTCACGGACAAATGACCAAACATACACAACACACAAATGCCGGAACTAAGCAAGTCGACAACAAACACAAGCTGAATGATCTCAACAACCACCAAATCACCACAATACTCAACTCCCTTTAAAACGTGTCAAACGAATATGACAAGTACAAAATCGATCCAATCTCAAAAACTCAAAACTGAATAATCAACTTCAATTACAAATTCACAAAAACTGATTAATATAACTTTCTCACCACTTCACAAGCTTTCCAATGACATATCATATGCGAAAAATGGAGCTCGTATGAGAAAACTACAACTCAAACAAGATTATCGACAAAAAAAATTGCTCTAGTCCTCCCGCTCGATTTTGTTTTGTATTTCATTTTTTTTTCAAATATTTTGGTTTTCTTTTTCTTTTCTTTGCAACATTTTTTTTTTTCGCAACTCTTTTTTTTTTTTTTTTTTACTTTTTCACGGCAATATTACAAGGCCTAGGCAAAACAATACATCAACAATAACTCCTTACACTTCCCCAACAACATCCAACTCAAAATTATTTCAACCTCACTTTAAACAACAATGAACTCAACAACCCGCAAACTTGCAAAACTCAAACAAGAGCAAAATCGCAAAACTCAAACAAGAACAAACTTGCAACACTCAAACAAGAACAAACTCGCAAAACTCAAACAAGAGCATGAAGTGTACAATTAAAATCACTCGTCAACAAAGTCACAAGCTTGAGTTCATATAATGCATATGGATGTAAGGTGCATGTTGTACACTAGGAAGCATAGAGGATCAAATCGTCTACACTAGAAGGCCAAACAATGACAAAACTCGAGATCAAATCTACGTCAAGAATATGCAATAAACAGCTCGACTACGCAACTAGAGGAATGAATAAAAAAGAAAAGATAACAAAGGAATTTTTTTTTTTCGGAATTTTCGGAATAAAGATAGTGTAAATTGATCAAACTGCTCTGATACCAAAATTAAATATATGTCATGGACCGAATTGATCAACTACACAAGACACGGAATTAAACTAACTAAGCGGAACTAACTAAGAAAGAAAAGAACAAATTAACTAAGCGGAAACGAATAAACTGAGAAAAAGGATAATTGAAAGAGAAGCAAACCTAAGTAAGTACTAACGTAAGAACGACCCGATACCCTTCTAGCATCGAACCATCCTCCACGAAGGCACCACCTCGGTCGACACTTTGGAGAGCTCTTCCATCTTCCCCAAATGCCACGAACTTGAGGCTTTATACTCAAACCCGAATTTTTGAACTAAACCCCATGGAGCAAGCAATGGAATTGCATTCCATGAAATATTAGACTAAAAGAGAAAGTATTGCTATCAAGCATAACTTTCCATAAAAAGGAAATGATCAATAAAAGATCAAATATTCACAAAAATATTCTTGCTTGGTGTGTTTTACAAAGCACCTTAAGAGTCCTATTTATAGGAGTGGGGGAAGGGGCAAGTGGAGTGATTTTCCAATGTGGGATAGGTTTAGTATAACTAAGTAACCTCTCATTGATTGACACCTAGCTAATGGTCCCCTCTTGCATGTGAGAGGCATGTGAGAGAGCTTATTGTATGTGTATATGTATAAGTGGTCCCAATAGATGGTCCCCCCCCACTTAAGCATGTGCAACCTAGGTTTATATAATTACCTATTAAACCCTCTATTTTAGCAAACTCCTAGGTTTGCACAACTTTTCCGTTAGTTTTCCGGTTGAGGCGTTGCAAGCTCCAATGTAACCTTTACAACCACGGCACTCGCCCTAGGCTTTCCATCAAGTCCTCGCATGTTGTAACATAGTCCGTTGGTTGGGCTCCAATTCTCTAATTTCTTTATTAGGCCTTGCAATTTTTCAATGCACGCTTTCGCTCGAGCTCTCGAGACTGGTCCGATTGGAATATGTGGAATTGCAAGTCCCGATCTTTTCGTATCCATGTCAGCTTTTGTTTTTTCAAAGTTTTTCCTTTGTATTATATAGTATGTCATAGATTATACTTACTTTGGGCTCTATAGTTCTAATTGAGTGATTTTCATATTTGTTGTAGAGTGTTCAAAATTTGTGCATTTAGCACTTTTGCTTTTTCAATGTTTTTCCTTTGTATTATATAGAATGTTATAGATTATACTTACTTTGGGCTCTATAGTTCTAATTGAAGTGCTTTTCTTATTTGTTGTAGAGTGTTCGAAATTAGTGTATTCAGCACTTTTGCTTTTTCAATGTTTTTCCTTTGTATTATATAGCATGTTATAGATTATACTTACTTTGGGCACTATAGTTCTAATTGAGTGATTTTCGTATTTCTTGTAGAGTGTTCGAAATTAGTGTATTTAGCACTTTTGCTTTTTCAATGTTTTTCCTTTGTATTATATATAGAATATTATAGATTATACGTACTTTGTGCTCTATAGTTCTAATTCCAGTGCTTTTCGTATTTGTTGTAGAGTGTTCGAAATTAGTGTATTTAGCACTTTTGCTTTTTCAATGTTTTTCCTTTGTATTATATATAGAATATTATAGATTATACGTACTTTGTGCTCTATAGTTCTAATTGCAGTGCTTTTCGTATTTGTTGTAGAGTGTTCGAAATTAGTGTATTTAGCACTTTTGCTTTTTCAATGTTTTTCCTTTGTATTATATAGCATGTTATAGATTATACTTACTTTGGGCTCTATAGTTCTAATTGCAGTGATTTTCGTATTTGTTGTAGAGTGTTCGAAATTAGTGTATTTAGCACTTTTGCTTTTTCAATGTTTTTCCTTTATATTTTATAGCATGTTATATAGATTATACTTATTTTGTGCTCTATAGTTCTAATTGCAATGCTTTTCGTATTTGTTGTAGAGTGTTCGAAATTAGTGTATTTAGCACTTTTGCATTTTCAATGTTTTTCCTTGGTATTATATAGCATGTTATAGATTATACTTACTTTGGGCTCTATAGTTCTAATTGCAGTGCTTTTCGTATTTGTTGTAGAGTGTTCGAAATTAGTGTATTTAGCACTTTTGCTTCTTCAATGTTTTTCCTTTGTATTATATAGCACGTTATAGATTATACTTACTTTGGGCTCTATAGTTCTAATTGAAGTGATTTTTGTATTTGTTGTAGCGTGTTCGAAGTTAGTATATTTAGTGCTTTTGTTTTTTGAATGTTTTTCCTTTGTATTATATAGCATTTTATAGATTATACTTACTTTGGGCTCTGTAGTTCTAATTGCAGTGCTTTTCTTATTTGTTGTTGAGTGTTCGAAATTAGTGTATTTAGCACTTTTGCTTTTTCAATGTTTTTCCTTTGTATTATATAGCATGTTATAGATTATACTTACTTTGGGCTCTATAGTTCTAATTGAAGTGATTTTCGTATTTGTTGTAGCGTGTCCGAAATTAGTATATTTAGTGCTTTTGTTTGTTGAATGTTTTTCCTTTGTATTATATAGCATTTTATAGATTATACTTACTTTGGGCTCTATAGTTCTAATTGCAGTGCTTTTCTTATTTGTTGTAGAGTGTTCGAAATTAGTGTATTTAGGACTTTTGCTTTTTCAATGTTTTTCCTTTGTATTATATAGCATGTTATAGATTATACTTACTTTGGGCTCTATAGTTCTAATTGAAGTGATTTTCGTATTTGTTGTAGCGTGTCCGAAATTAGTATATTTAGTGCTTTTGTTTGTTGAATGTTTTTCCTTTGTATTATATAGCATTTTATAGATTATACTTACTTTGGGCTCTATAGTTCTAATTGCAGTGCTTTTCTTATTTGTTGTAGAGTGTTCGAAATTAGTGTATTTAGGACTTTTGCTTTTTCAATGTTTTTCCTTTGTATTATATAGCATGTTATAGATTATACTTACTTTGGGCACTATAGTTCTAATTGAGTGATTTTCGTATTTGTTGTAGAGTGTTCGAAATTAGTGTATTTAGCACTTTTGCTTTTTCAATGTTTTTCCTTTGTATTATATAGCATGTTATATATTATACTTACTTTGGGCACTATAGTTCTAATTGAGTGATTTTCTTATTTGTTGTAGAGTGTTCGAAATTAGTACATTTAGTGCTTTTGTTTTTTCAATGTTTTTCCTTTGTATTATATAGTATGTCGTAGATTATACTTACTTTGGGCTCTACAGTTCTAATTGAGTGATTTTCGTATTTGTTGTAGAGTGTTCGAAATTTGTGTATTTAGCACTTTTGCTTTTTCAATGTTTTTCCTTTGTATTATATAGCATGTTATATATTATACTTACTTTGGGCACTATAGTTCTAATTGAGTGATTTTCGTATTTGTTGTAGAGTGTTCGAAATTAGTACATTTAGTGCTTTTGTTTTTTCAATGTTTTTCCTTTGTATTATATAGTATGTCGTAGATTATACTTACTTTGGGCTCTACAGTTCTAATTGAGTGATTTTCGTATTTGTTGTAGAGTGTTCGAAATTTGTGTATTTAGCACTTTTGCTTTTTCAATGTTTTTCTTTGTATTATATAGAATGTGATAGATTACACTTACTTTGGGCTCTATAGTTCTAATTGAAGTGCTTTTCTTATTTGTTGTGGAGTGTTCGAAATTAGTGTATTTAGCACTTTTGCTTTTTCAATGTTTTTCCTTTGTATTATATAGCATGTTATAGATTATACTTACTTTGGGCTCTATAGTTCTAATTGAAGTGATTTTCGTGTTTGTTGTAAAGTGTTCGAAATTAGTATATTTAGTGCTTTTGTTTTTTCAAAG